AGGGTTAAATTGCCTCTCTGAGTGCTCTTGGGCCCCTGGCGCTCAGTGCAGAACGCTGGAACGCTCCCAGGGTTCTCCTCGGAATAGAGAGAAGCAGCACAGAGCCGCAGCTCCGCCCCGGAATGGGGGGCCGCATCCCAGAGAGGGTCTGGAAGAGGTCTGGGTTGAAAAGCAGTGAGCAGCCTCTCTGTGCCAAACCCAAGAAGAGTGCACAGGTGGCTGTGCCAGAGAGAAAGAGGCTTTCCGAGAGCTCTGCCAGGAACCCCCCAGCTCTGCCTGGAGAGTGCAGGAAAGAAGGCATTAATTAAGCGTTTCAAAGTCAATGGGGTATCGAGGGGTTTTAATCGTACGTGATAATTTGTAAAAACAACAGGTATTTAAAAATAAACAACAAAACCCGAGCAGTAGGAGTTTTGAAGTGTTTATTTTGCAAAGAGCTAAACCTAAACAACTGGGTCGATTGGGCTTCTGTTTTTTGTTATGTGTTTAGTCTGTGATTTGCGACTCTTTTTGGGGCAGTCAAAAATTACTTAAAATGGCAGTTATTGTATTTGTTTTACCTGTGCTTTTATAGGCTGTCATATCTTTTTCATTAGGTTAAAAATGTTCTTTACTTTAAACAAGTTTTAATGTAAGATTTTGATATTGACAGTATTGATTCACATAATTTACTTCAATTAGATCAATCTGTCGTTTTTTTTGCAGACCTGCTTGATTTTGACACTCTGTGCTGCGTTCTGGGTGAGAGTCCATTCTCGATATTTTCAAATGCACGTATTTCATTGAGTCTAGGAAATGAAGTTTGAACTGGCAGTAGGTTATCCCATTCTACATAGCTACAGTCTTTGTGTGCTATCTGTAGAGGAGACATTTTGTATGTGAGAAAAAATGCATGTGAGAAATAAGAATACTACATGAACCAATTTGAGTGCTCACCAAAAACAACAGAGTTACTGTTTTCACTTCTTTACAAGCTCTGAAAAAGTGTCAATATTTCAGCTGTTTCATCAGGGCAAATATTTGCCAGTTGTAGTTTCAATGTAAAGCTTAGGAATTATTTAGCTTAGGTCTTTATTTCAGTGAGTTGTTTATACAGTATTTACTTTTTCCCCAATACTCAACTCAACTGACTTGGAATTTTTCCACATTTCTTTTATTTTTTTAGTGGAAGAACAAGGGTCTTGCTCTGCTGTTCTGCGTTTTTCAGTTTTTGGCTTTTGCTTGGTGAGTTTTATTCAAAATGCTTCTGCAAACTAATTTGAAATGACTATATTTACATGCTGTCTTCTGAAAAATAAGGATTTTAATCTGAAGCCTTCTTAATTGATTGTTTGCAGTGTGGGAGAGAAAACTCGATTCCGTTCTGCGGTCGTTTTTACTTGATGATATTCTGGACTTAATTCTGAATTCCTTATGTTTTGCTGAAAAGCAAATTCTTCGACATATTCTTATCATATTGCCCTAAACAGACAAGCTATTAAAAAAATATTTAGTACCATTTAGGTTTTAAGAAATTATTTGTAATGCAGAAATCTCAAAACTTGGTTTGTTTGTTAGCTATTACAGCTTGTTGGGTGCTAGTGAATTTCTGACACATATGTAATAAAATCCTTATTAATGAAAATATTAATTGCGAATACCTTGGAATTTCTTTCTTTGCTTCATACCTCAGGCATTTTGTGTAGAAATGTGTTTCTTTTTGTCAGTGTGCTGATATGCATTTAGGACTGCAAATGGTAGGCACATCTTTACACAAAGTGTTCGGATGCTATTGACTGAGACATTTGGGTTGAAACCCTTAACTGTTTCAAAATAACCAAATGTCTTGTTTTCTTGTGCTTCTGTAATCAACACAAGTGAGCAGAAACCTTAAATCCCCTATTGATGTCATTAGCCTCTATAAATCCTGCATTTTTTTATATGTAAGTAATAGAGTGATTACAAGAGTAGGTCCAGCATCCCTTTTTGACTCGGATGATAAAATCAAAGGGCTTTCTAGCTACCTGTGTAAAGTGTTGTTTCCCAGCACCAGGGACTTCTTCCTCTCTGAGCGCTCAGCCACTGACCTTGGGGAGGCTGACCCCAGAGATGAATTAGCCACAGCAACAAGGCACAAGTCTTTCACAGTGCCAGGAGGCTTGTTTTCCCCTGAAGGCTTCCTGGCACAAAGCACAGGGGGGGAAAAAACAACAAACAACAGAAACAGGCCAATTATTTATCTAGCTTTTAGCTCGGCTAATTTGTATAAGGGCAAAATTGCTCACGTCAAGCCCAGTGAATGCTCTGGTCTTTAGTTTGTCAAGCACCCTTCTAGCGCAGGCCCTCATCAGCGGGATAAATTGACAGAACAGCAGTGTTTAAAGCACTTACCTCGATAGCCTGCGCTCTGCCAAACGAAATGGAGGAGACTCGTTTATGTGCAGCATAGTACCTCTGCTTTTTTCAGCAGCATCTTCTGAAAAGTTCAATTCATGAGGTAGCCAAGCTATTTTTAACCTTTACCTTCGTTCTAATAAACAGATGTATTTTTATGGTTATCCTAGTTAGAAGAACTGTTCTTTAATACAGCGTCTTTCAAGAGTTTTCGCCCCCTTCTAACGCTTTCCCATTTTGTTAAATTACATGTGGAGTGTACCTATTTAAAGTGATTGCTGTTTTGTTTAAATCAATATTTCTGTGCTCAAACTAAACCCTCTTGTGGGTGAAAGAAGTGAACACTGCCACGAGAAATTAAAAACTAATTTGTGTAAGAATGCGATTTTAAAATCTTGCCACAGATTTTCTGTTGGATCCAAGTCACAGCATTAACTCGGTCACTCGGTCACATTCATTTTAAGCTTTGACCTTGTGCTTTGGGCCATTCTCCTGCCCACCAGATTAGCGTAGGTTTTTCTCTTTAAGTTTCCCTGTACTTTGCTCTATCCTTTTCCCCTCTGTCTTGACAAGCCTCCAAGTCCCTGCAGGTGCAAAGCAGTACCATAAGATTATACTGCCACCACCAGGCTGAACAGTGAGGAAGGTGTTAACTGTGGGGTAATGTGGTGTGTTGGGAGTATTCCAGACATAACTTTCCATTTAGACCAAAAAGATTCCATTTTGTCTCATTTTGTGCCACATGTTTGCCTCATTGGAAGGGGTTTACACTTTTGCAAGGCATTGTCAAGTGCTTTCTATATTCCACCACATTTTGTAATAACCCCCCTCTGGCAGTGTTGAGGCTCCTTTTTCTGATTTTCATGCCATGAGCAGTTTGATATGAAGCATAAGCCTTCATGAAAAGAGGCACTATCAGCTTTAAACAGATCACCCACATTAACACTGAGTTACTTGAACTCATCTCTACTTGTATCTGTGCAGTCTGCATCTAGTAATATGTCAAGGAGTGTTCTCTGTGGTGGTCAAGTTCCTTCTTAAAGGAAGCACAAGCATGATGTGTCGGATCAGAAATCTTTGATAGATGTGCAGTTATTCTGTAAAAACAGTAAAAGATTAATTTAGTAATGGAATACAATCAGTGTATTGAGAATATTATTGGGATTCTTGCACGATTAAGTTGCCGCAGTACAGTATGTGTAATTTTCATGTCTTGTTTACAAATAGTTTTCAGTTATCAAAAGAAGGAAGTGGTAGTTTATTAACACCAGTTCTTGTCTACTACAGGTACAGCATCTCCTACATACCGTTTGCGAGGTGAGTTATTTTCTGTTTAATTATCTTTTGCTTCATTAGAAGATCTTACCTTTGTTCTGAGGTTTTGGTTTGTTCAGCTGTTTTTTGCTTATAGAAGCGCACGAGGAGGTGACAGAACATGAGTTACACCATGTTCATGAAAGCTGGTCAGTCCCGTAAAAGCAGGTTCAGGCAGTGTGATGCACAGTGTTTTAGGTGCAGTGTGAAGAATCTAAGCTGACTGAGAAGGATCGCATGTTGCACGCAAAACATTGAACAACAACACCTTTGGCTGGCTGTTCCTGGTCATTAGGGAGTGAGCATTTGAGTCCTTGTACACAGGCACTGTAGGTCTTGGTAAGAAACAATCTTATTAAATCAAACAGAAAAATAGACCACATGGGGGCATGATTACTCTTCAGCTGCTCCTCTGATATTATCCACAACCTTCAGCCCTAATGCTTTCAGCTGCTCTGACCAACAAATGTTGCCCTACACTGAACCTCACACGAGGTATCTTGTGAAACATTCTAAGGAGAAATTGAAATTCTTATGAATAGGAAAGAAATGAAAAATTGGCCTTTTTTCAGCAAGTCTCTCTAGAGTAGAGTACAGTGCATTGTCATATGCACAAGTGCAATGAAATGCTTATTTGCATGTATGCTCCTATACAAAGACATCAGAGAAACACCAAAAACAATGAACAGTGACAACATCAAGTTAAATAACATACATTTTAGAGAAAGAAAACATCAGCGTGAGCCAGTGATAGGGGTAGAGTTCAGCAATCTGACAGCTTGAGGGAAGAAGCTGTCTCTGAGTCTAGATGTTCGTCCCTTTAAGCTCCTATAACGCTTACCAGAGGGAAGGGGGGAGAAAAGTGAGGAACCAGGATGACTGGTGTCCTTAATGATAATTCCAGCCTTCCTGAGGCAGAGTGTAGTAAAAATGTCTGAAATAGAGAGGAGCAGTACTCCGATGATGGACTGAGCTGACCTGACCACCCACTGTAACGCCTTCCGGTCAACAACGAGCTGCTGCCAAACCATGCTGTAATCTGCTCATGTTTTCTGTTTTTGCAGGGACGCAGTGATAAAATTATTCTCCATGTGCCTGAAGTGAAGAGTGTCTGTCTGCACCTAACTCTGGGACACGAGGCAGGGCAGCACTGCACAATCCAGTCACTCCAAACTCTATCCCTGCTTTTAGGACAGTAAAGCACCTACTTGGCTACCTGGCAGGAAACGAAGCACGAGAACTGTTGGTTATTACCGACAGTAATAACACAGATGCAGCATAAATAGGAGCCTCCTTGACCTCTTGACCTCAATCATTTCCCTCTTCTGTTGCATGGCGGCTCTCAGTGCCTTCCAAAACACAAAAGCACAAACTGATTGGCACATTAATCTCTCACAGAATTGATATTACTTTCCCAATATTGCTGCCAGTTATTTTAGCAAATGGACCAAAAGCAGGAATAGAGCTCGGGTTATGGTGACATCATGGCTAGGGCCTGGTTCTCCTCTTTTGTACTGAACTCTTTTTTTTTTTTCTTGCTGCTGATTGTATATCACAGGGTCTTAATGATGTGATGCCTACCTAATGTATGTCCCTGATGTTTACCTGAGAAAATGGGGGAGGGGGGGAATCAAAATGAAGAACTGTAGTACTGTAGGCTTAGGGGTACGGGTGCCTTTTTCACATGATTACTGTATGTCCACATCTTGCCATCTACTCCCTAACGAACTTGAGTGCTTAACCGTTAAATGCCAGTTAGGACACAATTAGTCTAGACATTGCTATTGGTGTAGCCAGCAAATCAATATATGAAATGTAAGGAATTCTTATCTTGGTGCCTTAATTGGCAGAAGAGAAAAACATCTGGGTAGTACCTTTCTGCAGGGCAGTAGCCAGGAGTCGGGCTGGATTGTGGGTTCTGAAGCAAAATCCACCACTGGCTTTCTCAAGTTTAATGCATTGTTTCTGTCTCTGTATCTCTTTCATTTAGTTGCAGTCGGCAAAATTCCTTTAGAAGCAGTGTTTAACTATTTTTTAAAAAGCCCGACTCCTTTGCTACTTTAAAATCGATATTTTTGCTGGCAAAACTTGTTTAAACTGTTGGTATTTCCTCAAAATTAGTTTCTGAAACAAAGCATAGGATGCGTTTTAATTTTTGACTCCCAGTGATGATTTTTTGATTCGTAACGTGTGATTTTGATGATCAGTTATTTTATCTTCCCCTTTTTCATATGGCGCTTGGCGCTTTTGAACTAGCGTAAGGTACAGCTTTTTTGTGATTTTTTTTTTCTGTTGACACAAACACTGACAATACTTAACAATTATGAGAAGAACCAGACAACAATAACCAGATGCCACTCATTTCTGCCACTGTAGATTATTTCAGAGATGGGGCTATGGCAAACGGTTGCTGTATATAGGGACCAGAAACACATTCGGGGTCCATAGTTTTGCCACTTGTGGCGGTGAGTGTGGTCTGTGGATCTTTGAACCCCAGCAGGCCCTGTAATGATTTGGAAGCCACCTGCTAATTCCTAACCTTGTGCATGCCTTAACATCACCAGTTCTGTTGCCCTTAACTGTTTCAGAAGATCTGCCATACACTTTTGATGACTATAGTCTAACTGAGGGCAAGACACTAAATATTTCTCATGCATTTGGTGTGGTCAGTTGTTACTGATACTTTCTGTAGATGCGGCACAGATCTTTCTCTTTGGATTCTATCCCTTGGTGGTGGAGGGCTGCCGTGTGCCTAGACATTTGTAGCAGATTCCCAAACCGTTTCACAGTGCTTGCAGACATTGGCGCAGAAATCAAATGTTCTAGAACTGGGCCGTGTGCCAAGAAAACCTTGGCCTATTATATATGCTGCCGACGTAAGGACATTTTGTAAAACCCAGTTCTACAGAATCTGCCTTTGTTTTGTGTACGTTTTGTTTTTGCTGGAATGTCTGCCTGCCATTTTTTTTTCCTCCTTGGATCAGGAATATGTGCTAGAGGAAACTCGGTGAATATCGTGTTTGGGGAATATGTTCTCTTGTACGTGCATCGTGGAGTTGCTACTGACCTGCGGGTCACCCTGGGTTGATCTGTGGCTGAATCACTTTCACAGCCAGAGTGTCCCACCTGTCCGCTGCGGAAACGTCACTTCCCAGTGCGCTCTGAAACACTGTCGCACTCGGAGAGCACGTGCGGCTCTTAATCTGGTAGCGCTGTCAGGCTGGAACGCAGAAATGAATGGCTGAATAAGTCTCATTCCCAACTGTGTGGAAATTTCCTCTTCAAAATGTTTAGTGCAGCTCTTTTAAAAAAGGCCGTGGTTGGCGCCTCCATTACTGTGGGATTCAGCTGTTCAACTGCCATTGATGTGTAAAGGAAGATCACTCCCCTGTTGCCCATTTATTCGACTGTGCTAGTGTTTGACTTTACCAGAATGCCTTTCTCCAGCTTTGTATTCCTAATGCTGAAATTCAAGGGCTTTTAGTTTTCATTCCACCTGAGCTCTTAACTGTGTTAATTATTGACTTAAATGGACCAGTTTAATCTTTTTCCAGTCTCTGAACTTAGTGGTTTAAAGAGACCTATAAAACCTACTAGATTGCACGCAGGAGTACCGCAGTTGTGCATCTTTGCTGTAGACTAGTTTTTAATTACACTAATTTCTTATTTGTAGCAGATTCTTAAAAAAGGTGGGAACATTTAACATATTTATGTACATGAACTATATGTGCTGACCTATTTTTACCTCTTCACTAATATTTACACTGGAACAGTTTTATTTATCCTAGATGGATATACAGGGTGTACTGATTACTTGTGGCTTTATTTTATTTAATTATAATAAATGATGTTCTTTTTAGTATGCATGTTGTGACATTGCTGTGAGTGTTGGAGGTATACCATTATTTTTTTTTTCTCAAAGGGAAAATTAACAAAACTTTGACCACATCTGTCATTTACTCAGAGTCAATGAAAGACAAATATTCAGTTGACATGAGAACATGAAGTCAGGTCCGTTTGATTTCTTAACTTGATTACAGTGCTTTGAAATAAAAACTGTTGAAATCCACAAAGAAGCCAAGAAAAGTGTGAATACAAATTCTGTTTGGAAATCAGTAGCATGTTGGTGCTCTGTGTTTTTTTTTCTCAGAAAACTCCATACCTAAGTTATCTCCCAGTAATTTTGATTATTTCGTTCTCTAAAAACTGTTTTTAAACTGGCCTTCTTTTGAAGAATTATAGAAAAAACATTTATGAATCCATAAAGGAAGATTGGACCACAGAACACATCTGAATTGTGTAGCCTTCAGCAGTACTTTTGGAATGCCAGTTACAATTTAGTTGTGCTCCTGAACTTTACTTTATCAACCATAAGCAGCTATATCTGAATCCTTCTTAAAACAGTCCATCTACAGATTGACCACATTCCATTGGGGGTAATGTTCTCTTGTGATGAAGGAAGCGTAGGCTTCAACTGGTGATGTCTCCATAGCGACTGTAAGACTGGAATCCAGGATATTAACAACTGCCTGAAGTTCACCTGAACTTTTTTAGTTCTGAACAGCTAGCCACCAGAGAGAATGTATAACATATTCCAAAGAAAGTTTTATTGTAATATTCTTCAAAGGAGCAGATTCCTGACACTAGACCAGAGAAGGGAACCCCTGTTGTACACTGTGCAGTCCTTTATTTTCTACACAATTCTCTATTGGAACTTAATTCTGTTTTTGAATGGTGTCACATTTTATTAATAATGGAGGTAGTAGGTTAGTTGTGGCTTTTGTGAAAATCACCCAGGCTACAGTTCCCCTCGTTGGCTTGAGATCAGCGTAGTGATAGGCAGTTTCATTAGGTCTGGATAACTGTGAAGTGTCTCCTTCATGATACATTTGCTGGTAGTCTGTAGCTCAATTCTGTAATACAAGACCAAATGACACTTTTTAGCCCCAGTTCTCCTACATGGAGAAAGAATGGGAATATTGTTTAAACATTTGCTTAATGACTCATGACCAATATCTAACTCCAAAATACTATCAAGAAAAAAGCGTTTTACAAAAACATGTTCTTTGGAAAGATGTATTTTTTATATTTTAAGGTGAACAAAAGCTAAATATTTAAAACGTTATCCATTCAGCCTCTAAATTGTATGTGGAATGCACTTTGTGAATTTTTTCTATCCTGCCTATAATGGAATATATTTCTATTTTTGCTATGTGTATAAAATTTTGAACCCAGTGATGTCTGAACAGTCTGTTTTATATTGGACCCTGTGGCACACCTGCATGGTATGGAGAGATAAGGACTCTCGTGGCCTTTGGTTATACAACTTTGTGATTGTTTTTATATGCTTCTTCTCTTTTGACCAGTATTGTGAAGGGAATGATCCTTAATGCAGAGCTGTATTGATTATTTTTTAATCATGTTAAGTGAATGTTTTGTAGGTTCATTTACATACGTCATTTATATTATTAGGAAAGTGTTTACTTTCAGACACATAAGGCCTGACTTTTTGTAAAAAGCAAATAACGGACAAATCACAATCACTTTCTATTATGCTGTGCCAGTGTTACTTGAATCCCCTGGAATGAAATCTAGTGTTTAATGAATAACCATGTTGCTCCTGTAGGCTTTACTCTTTTTTTTGTAGATTATTGTTTATATTTTGTTCCTCTGCTGGGATGTTGTGGCCTTCCATTAACACCTTATTGTCTTAGCCTGTACATAATAAATAGTTTAATCCTTGCTTCTGTGTTTTTTTTTTCAAAATCTGTATGCTTTCCCTGTATGTAATACACCACATACCTATTTTTATTTCTTTGGTGTAAATCAGTCTGGGCTTTTATCACTTGCTAATAAAACTTATAAAGTATACAACCCAAATGAAGCCATTCATTTATCTAGTACCTGGATTTTTATTTATTTATTATTAATCGTTATAGTTTACTGAGCCATGGCTTCATTTGAGTTGTATACTTTGGTTACTGTAGGTATCTGGTCTGTAGAACCGCTATTTTTTGTGTAACCAAGCACTTTCGCTCTGAAATCCTAAATCCTAGGTTTTTTTTTCTTTTCTACTTTCTGATTTTGGTTTCTTAATGAAATGTGTATAGAAAGCTGAAGACCCTTGATTACCAGTTCATGAGTCTCAATGTTAGCTCTGCTGTGGTTTGTAGCAGTCATTTACAAGTTAAGAGCTGTGCAGTATAGTCCACGAGGAAACAAGAACGTTGTTCCTTGTAGAGGCTGAAGCTCAATACCAACAAACGGGAAAGAATGGAGTGTCCCCATCTCGGCGGACCATGAGTTCATAGTCAAAACGCCTTTAGGAGGGCTGCCTCTAACAGGCACTAGAATTTCTCAGAAAGGCCACAGGTTTCAATGACCTGTACTTCAGAAGAATAGACTTGCTTTTAATTTCAAACTTTTGATGGGCACACGCGCCCTCTGCTAATGAAACCTTAATCTGCTCTAAGTCTTTTTAAGTCCTCTAATCTCGGCACCCAGCCTCCGGGTGATTAAAGGGCTGGCGGAGGCAGCTGGGCCTTGCAGTAATTCAATTAGCGGGGAACTCGCAGCGCCTCTGCAGCAGGACGTGAGCCGATGACAGATCGGGTTTCCCACGGGCTGGGGAACATTCAGTCTGCTTTTCTGCTTCAGGTGTTTCGGATAATTCGCAGGAGGTGGAAATTCTGATCAGATGTCCGTTTTTTTTTTTTGTTATCGTACAGGGTTTCTCCGTGCTGAGTGAGACATGGTTTTAGGACATGTTAACGGCAGCGACCGCACTGGAAAAGCCGTCATTCTAGGAAGCTTGGGATGCATCAAGAGGCTCCGAAAGTGAATTTTTAAAGTTCTTTAGTCATAAGGCAAGCAAACCCTGCCACTTCAGATGACTGGAGTTTCATATTTCTAAATTGATCATCTTGAAAGACAAGGCTACTGCCAACGTTTTACCCCAGTCCATCTCCAAATTCTCTCATTGAATGTTCAGAACTGAAATCTTTATGTTCACATCAGTTTATCAGAGCCCATCGCTTGCTGGGATAGGTTCTGACTACGAACTGGAAGCAGTGGTTGGAAAATTGATGGATAGGAGTTATGAGATAATTGTCATTTTCCTAAGTGGAAATGACATCGGCTTGGTTGACCGAGTGTCCTACGGGGATTGTACTGTGAAAATCTGAGACTAGTGGCGTGAGGCTACTGTTAGAAGCACTGCAAGCTGTACATCTGTAACATGCTTTGCTCCAGCTTGCAAATACTCTCTTGTGCGATTTCCTTCTATCATCTCATCGAGGCCAGACCATCAACTGCCTCTTCACTAGTCTCCGAGCCCTAGATTCCATGCGTCTTCCTATCCTGTCGAACAAATATTTAATGGGGCTTAAATCTGGTGAAGTAGCACATCCACAGCATAAGTGTCATACCCTCAGCTCTCAAGAAAACTACTGTTACGTGAGCACCTTGAGGTCATGCCTGCTGGAATGTTATTTACTCACAATGAGCTTGGGGAAAGGGCAGAAAGTGAGGTCCAAGGACATGAGCAATATAGTATCATGCAGTCAGGTTACCTCATGTATGGCATATATTACATAGTATTTCATATTAGAGCTTGATTGAAAGTTTGTTTTTAATGTCTTGTATAAGTCTTCATCATAAGTTGCATACAACAGTTTAGTCTGCATCATATATACTATATATTAAATATACTAAGCATAAAAAAATATTACTTAGAACTTCATGAAGTTATCAGATGAATGAGCAGCACAATGTGCATGTGCAGTGGTTATAAATAATGTTATTTGGTCACAATGAGCCTGGGGAAAGGGCAGGAAGTGAGATCCCAGGACTTGACCAATATAGTGCCATGCAGTCAAGTTACCTTCGATCACTACAGACCATGTTCACACTCCACACTGATTGGTCTGTTGGACACATCGACTAACATTGTTCTGCATGTCTGAGCCACACTCACTGACATCCATCAGACTGGTCCACACTAAATCTTGATTTGTCACTGTAGAGCACTTGTAGGCTGGTAGTCTACCTAAGGCAGATTAGTCCAGCCTCCAACATACTGGTGACACAAAGGCACCATCCTGTTGGTAAGCAGGACATGCTGGTTCCTTTCTATACTCTTTCTGATTTTCACCAGGCTTGGTATTTACACGGTGGAGTCACCTCATCACCTGTGCCCAGCGCTCTCACTCATGAGACGAATAAGTGCTTGTGCACCACTCAAAGTCACTTGAGTGTATCACAGACAGTAGGGAATGGTCAATTCATCAAAGAGATGCCAAAACATTTAAAGCAGTATCCGTACATAAATATACATTACATGCATAAAATGGAGAGATACTTGTTTTTTGCTCAGAAGAAATGGATATTCCGCTTTTTCCCCATGGACTGTACAGGAAATACCGGCGTATGACGTTCAGTAGCGGAGAAAAAACAGAAGACAATATTTATGCTGCATAAGTAATAAGTTAATTTTCAAAACAATTTGCATCTTGTGTTAAGGGTTGATTAATCGTTGCATTCACTCTGTAGCAAATGACACATGAGAGAACTGTTTAAAATTGCCCTATGTGTACTACAGTAGCCGCCCAAACAGAACTGCGCACTGAATTGGACCGGCCTGGAAGGTCCGTAAAAACGCTCCAGCAGTACTGGAGATACGGAACGTTTCACTTTCCCACATAGATTTCCTCCAAAAGAAGCTCTCCATCTAATACATTTTAAAAAATATAAACACATTTCGTTGTAGCGCGTATTACAGAATCAATTAACTGACATTGAACTACGAATAAACCCCATCTGAAACTCCAAATGTTTCATAAAGAAGAGTGGGGGGAAATATAGATATTTTTTTTACATTATATTCTACTTTATTGTAATTCTACATAACTAAGTGTAGAGCGAGTACACATTTTGGCATAACCCGCTAGTATTTAAGATTTAAAAAGGTACATTTGATTTAAAAAAAAATCATCGTTTTTGTTTTCCCCCTTCTACTCAAAAACCTTTAGAGGTGCTGGATGCGCCTCCAGAGCCGTTGGGCTCGAAGCCTGGAGACTCTGTCCACGGTGCTGAAATCAAATCCGCTCGGGCCGTTCTTCACGAAGGCTGGCCAAGAGAGAGCACACGGAGGAATACTTCCAAAATAAAGACCTTTTAGAACCGCTGATTTATTCCTCGATCTTTGACTAGCCTGAATCTGGAGAGCCACCGTTAGGTGTTAAGCAGAATACTGTGTCTTAAAATCATTACGAACAAAGCACAGTCATCTAAAGATGTACTAGTTTACAACGGGATGTTTGTATTGTAATTATTGGCGTTATTTGTGTCATCAAAGCTATAATAATAAAGCAAAGCACGCTCAATTATTCTATACATTTTCTAAAAATATGAAATCTAAGCCATTTAAATCATTTTAATGTGGGAAAGAAATAGCTGTGCAATTATATAACGAAAGATATTAGCAGAACATTGTTTCTAAAACAGATAGAATGTGATAATTTCCTATTCTTTTCTAGAATCACTTTTCAGAAACAATTGGAAATGCTATTAAATCCATACATGACAGGTGTATAATAGATAAGTCGTATGTAATGTATGTACAGCAATAGTCGTAATTTAACTTAAAAATGACTCCTCAAAAATACGGATTCTAGTCCCCTAAAATAATTGCTTTTATTTTTACCCAGTTTCTCAATGTCATAGGAAATCGACGTTAAAATTACATCGCACGATTGTTCTTTATATGTATCTTTATATGTCCAGACAGTTTTGGAATTTCAACTAACAGCCTTTAAATGGCAATAAACGAAGTGCGCAACTACTGTAGATACAGAGACGTTAACTACGTTTGCGGGTGATCGTTGTTTTATTTCGACGTTCAATTTTAATACTGTATAGGCAGGGACAGGAAAACTACCTTTTTAGTCTTTAAACTGTTTTTTTTCTTCTTCTGTATCACCTTGACGTTGTCTCTCTGGAGCGTGTAGTGAGTTTCCCTTTCTAGAAGACTCCAATGTCTTAGGGCAGGAACATTTTTAAAGTGGTTTTGATGCTGAAACAGTCGGAATGGTTTATTCTGTTATAGGAATCGTTCGCTTACTGTTCCCCCATTTGCTAAGACTTCAGCTATGAACAACCGGCCTACAGTACTAATATTGAGAGCAAAACGAAATTCACAGCGGAAAAGAATGATTGACGGCGTAGCTCAAAAGAAAGAATTGCTCAACTTAAATTCCATTTACTGTATATACTCTATGGAGGGGAACATCCATTTACTGTAGAGAGCCGTTTGTTACTTTGAATATAAGAGCCCATCAAGGAAATGGTTACACCGACGATGCGCAATGTACCTGAGAAAATGTAGACATGTCACCGGTTTTAAATACAGACTTTATTCGACGTCGTGCGTGTAAAAATAGCCCTTTACCGCTACAGCCTTAAATGAAGCTGCCGTTGTGCCATACGTGCGCATTCCATTTAAAAGGGGGTAGCAATTATATGGCCCAACCTCGACGGGGGGAGAATGACATAAAGCAATGAATGCGATGTTCAATTGTCGCGTTTAATTAAGGGGAGAGAAAGCACAAGGCGGGCAGGTCTGAAATTTGTTCCGAAAGTAAGTTCCCTTAATTAAAATCGCCAATGGTGAAATTAGCCGTGAGCCATGTGACCGCACAGGTAATTGCGGAGCTTGTTTTTTTCTGAGTGAGATGGTGCCATATTCTCATAAGGTGACAGCGCATTTACATGGCCACAACCAGACTGAAATGCAACATACGGATATGTTTGAATATTAGGTATATGTTTCATATGTTTTCTAATAGCTAACGCTGCGCCACGTTGTGACCACGCTGTGAGGCATTCAAACGAGGTTGGGAGAAGGTTGTGTTCGTTGGTGGTGGTTTGTTGAATAGATTTCTAAGAAACCCATACAGGAGTGGGGAAGTTCGGGCGCCCAATGAAGGTCGAGGGCAGAAGGGGCGACGCGGACGGCGGAGCCGGGGCGGGCGTGAGGAGCGGCGGGGAGTGCTGCATCTCGCGGCTGCTCAGCGTGGTGGAGAGCGAGCTGCAGGCCGGCCGCGAGAAAGGGGACCCCACGGAGAAGCAGCTGAAGGTGACCCTGGAGGAGGCCGAGCTGTGGAGGAAATTCAAGGAGGTCACCAACGAGATGATCGTCACCAAGAACGGCAGGTCGGTACAGCCTCTCCTCCGGGTTTATGAATAATCTAAACACCCTAATCCGTTTTGAACTTCGCGGAAAGTCCTGCTGCCGCCTCGCATACCCCCTTACCTGCTTTAGAGAGCCGAAATTCAATCCGGAAATTTTCACAAAACGGGAGTACTGATTTTACCATAAAGCAAAAAATAAAAAAAAACCCAAACATGAACGTTTTTAAAGGACTCACTACAGAGAACCACATTACAACAGAAAAGTTTATCATATATATATAATATACAACTCGGCGAGATGCTGTTAAAGATCGAATAATGTCGGAAAAAGTATGCTGAAGCTTGAGCAATTATACTTCGATGCGTAGGAAATGTTTAGGTAATAAATACATATCATTTTACAAAACACAGGCATTGCTGTTATACAGTTTATATATTAGGCTCTCCCGTTCTATTAATATTGTTGTAGATTTCTGACGTTGAAAAGTGTTAATATAACTATTCGTCTATTGCATTTCGCAGTTTTCTACACGGAAATTACAACGTTACAACATTTAGTGTTTAAAAAATGTATAACACATTTGATACATGTCAATAAAAACCCGGTGTTCTAGTAACGGGGATAAAATCGTTCCCCTGTAGTCGATAACGGTTCCTCTTTAAAAGTAACATTTCCGCGATTATTTCCTAACTGCCATCGACGGGGTAACGGTTTGATATTAAACTCGAGTTACTCGGCTAACTGGCGAACAGTACCGTTAAGGTGATGTTAATGTCACGTTTCTGAAATGAGACCTCGGACCCAAATCTCGGCGCCTGCGAGCGCAGTTATTTCTACTGGCGCCGCACATTCCACATCCCGCGTGGATCGGTTTGCATCAAGATCAAAGTACTTCTTCCAAAAATATTTATCGTCGTCCAGGAAGTCATCAGTTAATACTATTAACCACCTATTTTTTTTTACAACCAAATAACAAACTATTATTATAAATGGGAAAAAAACTAAACATAACGCATAGTGGATGGATTTTTTGTTACTAACGCATTAAAAAGAAAAATTAGAATGTCTTTTTTTTCTTTAAAAACATTGCATTACATTGACAATCCGGAAAAAAACTTTTACTGTATATACATTAAGAATAAATCGGATGTACATAAACAATTACATAATCCAAGTTTACGCACATACAGTAGAGCTATGTAATTCGTAATTGTTGTGGCTTTCTCCTCATCCTTTTAGTGAACGAATGTGATTTTAAACCCCGGTGAATTATTTCTGTAATGTCACTTTTACATTATATGCATTATATGCACTATATGCATAGTTCTTGAGGAAGTGGGGTCAGTCGCTTGAAATAAGCGAATTCAAAATTGGTCTTCATACACTTCCTAGTTCACCCGGCTCACCTGGTGTGTGCCAAACCAAACCCAAACTTACTGTAGGAACGTGACAAAACACAGAACCAAACACGAGTGTTTGCGTGGACTCCAAGTCTCATGGAATTAACACGAACACACCGCTACGCTACTCTATTTAAAAGTAAAAAGTAGAAAAAATCAGTTATTTTAACTTCACGGAGGTAAGCGTTTTATGAATCTGTTCGTTCATGGTGCGCATTCACTCCAGGACAACCTTTGCAGTAATACAATGTGATTTTCAGAAGAGACTGAGAAAGGCAGACCATCCGTATCACCACATATACTAAGTATATTAAGTATCGATATTTTTTTATTTTAGTATTTTTTTTATATCCAGTGCTCTTGAAATAACGGATAACTCAATCGCAAACGTTCTTGGTCACACCCGTAGAGTCGTATTCATATGAACTTTTACAAAGGATTTCTGTCATTCTGATTTTCCATGCTTTATTTATAGAATTGTTTTCTTGGAAAAATATATTTTACGGGTTTAAGACGTCAGTTCACTGAAAAAGACGAACGAGATCGAGTGTGCCATTGTAGGTTTTGGTGTTAAATAATATAACAGTGACTCACACAAGAAGAACAAACAGAAAGGGATGATGAATATTGATGAATCCTAAAGGATACCAAAGCGCTTCACATACAGAACAGGAGGGGCCCACTTCAACCCCGCTGAAGGGAAGATCCACCAGCACATCAGACCCGCAGACTCGAGACTGGACAGACCCTGAGTGGGACTTACCCTCGACTAACGGACTCTTTCTTGCAGCGCTATGGGATATTTAATGACAAAGTAGTCAGGACCCCGGCTTAACAACGCACCCGAAAGACTTCACCTCCTACGGCACATCGTCAATGATCTCCTCATTGGGACATTGATTTGTGAATTAGGAAAGATTGGAAGATGAAAGAGCGCCACCTACAGGTCCACCATCACTGCTTACTACAGTCACCTGGTTTTCCCTGGAGGTCTTCCAAAAATAACTTCGTCTTTTATTTCTCTTTATGCATACACACGCACGTATATATTCGCATAAACCCGTATTTGTGAAGATTATTAAAAGAAAATATAATAAAAGAAAATATTTAAAAGCTGATGTCTTGATATGAAGCAAGACTATAATCAGAACATGATTTTTTTTTTTCAGTTTAACGACAGTTTTTGTTATTTAACATTACGCCTGAACTTGCCTAAACGGTATTCAGGCTCATATTAGACAACTATTAACACTATGGTCGATGTAACTGTATTTATCTAACACTAAAACGTCTTTCCAATATTCCCGGAATTTTCCGGTTAAATTGTAACAACGAACTAAAAATTTAAAACATACGTAATTTTGGCTGGACGTAAAGTGCTTCGAACTATTATTATTAATACTAATTGTACAGGATCTTTCTCCTAATCTCCGACAAAGCTAGACGTGACGTAATATGTGTGCGCGCAACACTAAAGTCAGAAGAGATGGGAGTCAACGTGTTTTGGTACATTAAGAGTTCTCCTTGGTAAGGAGGATGCCCAGTAAAAATAAAGGGGAGTTTATTTAAAAAATGCAAGGAAAGCGTCGAAACCTCCAGGCTTTGTAATACAATAAAACTATCCTATGCTTGCATGGTGGCGATATTATTACCCTGTTATCGCACTGCAGGGAGGGAGAAACCGAATTACAGTTGATAAATGTCACAACTGCTTATTTACCAGACTGAAAAAAAGATGGTATCACCTTTTGCAAATACTATGGGATTTTTTCAGCGCTTGGAAACTGGGAATTAAGAAATTCTATCTTGAAAGCATTTCTTGTTTTTCACCTGAATTCTGACTACTTACCATCGATTGGTTGGGCTATCTATTATTTAAATTGACTCCTGACTACATTTTGAGGTTGGTCGTGTTTATGAGTTAACAGAGCTGGTAGCATTAATTCATTTAATGGGTCTCTTTTAGCCAAATTGACCATAGCTGGTGTCAGTGGGTCAGGAACAGCAGGTAAGTGGGAAGCTCACATACATTTGCATGTTTCTGAACAGCATACTTTAAACTCTTTACTGGATTTCAACTAAAAAAGTACAGAGCATTACCTATTTTAAAGCCATTTTTCTCTCTATAAAAAGGTCTCTTATGTATAAAAGTGTCATTTTCACCTAACCAGACACCAAAAAAGAAACCTCCAACAATTCTTACATAGCTAGCCTACTGGTGACATTCCAGTGGTATTCCTGGTGGTATTCCAGGGATAAAGGACTTAACAAGACCTATTTCAGACCTGTACCCATTGAGAGAGACAAAGTGACAGTGATCAGTGAGGTAAGACTTGAACCATTTGAGAGCAGTGTCAGACTAGGCTGACGTGATAGCCTGCACTTCCCAAGACCCGGAGTGGCTCAGAGTGTCCTGCAGGAGGAACATGAGTGGTGAGCGATGAGGAGGGCTGATCTCTCCGGACTCTCTCTGTTGTTCCCAGGAGGATGTTCCCCGTGCTGAAGGTCAGCGTGTCAGGCCTGGACCCCAATGCCATGTACTCCTTCCTCCTGGATTTTGCCCCGGCAGATTCCCATCGTTGGAAGTACGTGAACGGGGAGTGGGTCCCCGCGGGCAAGCCGGAGACACACAGCCCCAGCTGCGTCTACATCCACCCTGACTCCCCCAACTTTGGAGCGCACTGGATGAAGGACCCTGTGTCCTTCAGCAAAGTCAAGCTCACCAACAAGCTCAACGGTGGAGGACAGGTACCCTTAGCCTCTCTCGGTCTCCTCATCTGCCTGTCCCTCTCCGTGCCTTTCCCTGTCAATTTCCAACTCTTCCCTTCTCCCAGGCCGTGTGTCCTGGCCTCCATACTGGTGCCTGACTCTTCTTTGTCTCTTTGTTTCTTCCTCAAAGCAACAGAACAGACAAGTATTCCTGAACTGTAAGATTTAGATTTAGATTTAGATTTAGATTAAGGTTTAGGTTTAGGTTTAGGTTTAGGTTTAGGTTTAGATTAAGATTAAGATTAAGATTAAGAAAGTAGGAGCATTAAGGAAAAAAGAAATAGAAGCATCTTTAAAACAGTAAAAGAGAAGCTGTTTTCAAATGTCAGATCAAATAACACGACAACATGTGACGAACCTGAGAAGGAGTTTACAACATGAAGTGAAGCTTAGTTGATATATATTTGCAAATACAGTAACCAGTGTAAGATCTTGCTAAAAAAATCTGATCTGTTTTTAATGAAGGTGGTGGAAGCAGATCTTTTCAAAAACTGTTCTTGATAGTTTTTCTTTGACTTTCTATCTGGTGAAACAGTTATGGTCTGTTAGATGTGGATATATTTCCAAAAGTCTTGCATTTCTACAGTCCCATGTTACAAAGGAAGAGGTATTTTTCACAGCAGAAACAAAGAAGCTCTTTAGCCTGGAGATTCATCAGTTTTGTTACAAATGAGGGGTTACACAGATAGAGAAAAATAGAATATCAGGAACTGACATGAGCAGATTATTCAATAAGTAAAATAAATGAAAACCCTTGACGTGCAAATGATTTCTGCCAAGAATGTACTCCAAGCGATTGGTTTAATTAGAGGTACGTGAGTTCATTGTTGTCTGGCAAAGCTTTGGTGAAACGAATAATAATTCAGGCACACTTGGTTAAACAATTATTTATTAAAAATGACAAACACACACTCAACAACATGCTACATAAAAATGCAACACACAAGTTACACCATGTAAAAACGTACCCAGAAGAACTCCAGACTGTTACTAAATATTCAGACGCTTATTGCATATAATGCCTACAAACATGCCTGTCTGTAAACCTGGATGCCAAAAAATAAATGGCATCCGGGTTAAGATTAAGATTAGGTTAACTTTTCTCCCTATTCTAAAAAATGCACCCAATAACCAGGAGAGCCCATTTTAACTGTGTAAGGCCATTTCCTTACACAGGAAATCAGAATTTCTTAAAAACCACAGAATAGCTAAGTTTCAAATACTTAGCTCCAATCTGGTCTTCCTGGGTGATCTGGAACAAGAAGGTCTCACCTCTCATAACTTTCCTGTGATCTTGTCTGTTCTTCTCCCTGTTATCCCACCATCCTTTTATATGGTGTCTTTCTGGACTGTCGACTGACGCTTAATCATTTACCCAGAACGTCCTTGACTAAGGTAAACCAAGATGAACTTTATGATTGCGTCGATCACTGAATCTGGACCCCCTGCATCTCAGCCAAACATCCCCCTGCTTTGAAGCTGGAAATGTTGACACTAGCCAGGTGTTACCCGTTGTATCTAGATTCTTAGAGACACTTCCACAGTTGCCTATACACGTAACGGTGTTGTTGATGAGATCAGGGGACGGTGGAGATCATCGATGTTGTTCATCGATACAAGACGGTGGATCACTCACAATCCCAGGAATGGGAGAGGAGCTGGGAGTGTGTAGGAAAACGACGGGCAGCACAGTCCCCCATGCCTCCCTGCCCAGCTCACACTGCAGCTCCTGAGACGCCCCCAGGCACTAGAGTCTTGGAGAACTAGCAAGGCTTTTAGAAACCCTGACTCGTCTGTAATCACAGGCTCAGCCATGGGGAAATATCAAGTGCGCATTTATACAATTAGTGGGACCCTCTCAGGCCACTTCACCCCCGGAGACCCTTTGTTCCCAGGGGACTGTATGTAAACAGGAATAAACAGCTCTTAATTGGCACTTTTGGGATTTAATGGACTTCCTGATGTTAAAAAAGAGAGAGATGTACTTTAGGTAGTCATCCAGGCTTTCAGAGGCTGCGTTATGTGGCTTGCGTGCTCCATTCAAGTATGACTTCAGAGCAGAATTGTTGTTGGTATTTATGTGTACTGATGTCCCCCCCCTCCCTCCTCCCCCAGCTCTGTTCTCTTTTCTTTGGCATTAAATGCAGTGTTGGCAACACTGTGGGACCAGGAGTGAGAACCAGCCCTAAATGAAATAATTGCCATGGTTAGTTGTACATTATGATAATTACCTGTTTTCTTTTTTTAAATGTGAAGTCAATTTAGACCTCCGTCCTTAGATGTTTCAAAAAAAAAAAAGGCAAAAAAAATAATCTCCTGATGGGTATCCGGTCCTTTTCAGTGATTTTCATGTTAAAGGTGAAGTAAAGCTCTCAATTAGAATGGAAAATTGTTTGTTTTTTCAGGCGTTTTATATAATAATTGTTAAATTGGGGAGAGAGTCCAGAGAAGGGTATGCGCTCTCCGAGCGGCGCTGTGCTGCTGGTTCCCTCTGGTGTCCCTGGTGGTGAAATAGAGAACTGCAACGCAACAAGGAAAAAAGCCCCGGGCGTTCCTGAAGGTGCCCCAGGATAGCGACTATCAGCCCTCACCAGGGGACACTTCTAGGATTCCTCCTCTTTGGTCAAGCCGAGTTCTTAATCACGGGCTGGTTGATTTCAGTTTTGCCATTTACGGTGCATTTTTAAACCGACTTTCAGCTCTAAAACTCTTCTTACCTGTTATTTTACAAAAAGGTAATTTTATAAAATTGCCCTCATTGGGGTGTGTTTGTCTAAACCGTCACCATTTGTACTATCACAAACATGAAAAAAAAGTACGATTGTCTTTCCAGCCTGTATATATTAATCAAAAACTGATCTCCTGAAAAAAAGAGTACACAAGCTAGGAGAAGCTGTATAAAGTCCTCTGGACTGAAGCTATTTAAGCATTACCCTCGAAGTGGGGTGTGTTACGCCACCTCCTAGGCTTCCCAAAACTTAAAGTGCAGGGAAGATGTGCCCGTTGTGGTTAACGTTGAGCTGCAATACAAAATAAAAAAAGGAACAGTGCTTGTGCCTTTAAAAAAAAAACAGAGTAGTAGTTTATTTAACACTTTCAGGTACAACATTAGTCACGTACATGAAGAAAAAGAAAAAAAACAATTTAGAGTACAAGAAACGCCTCATGCGGAAGCTTTTTCAAGACTCCAGTACGGCATGGTGCTCCTCAAGTCTCTGTAGATCTCTCTTAGTATAGATCAGCTGCAGTTCCATAGCTGATGTTAATTAAGACATCACCTCTGGCAAATACCTGACCTAATGAGAAAAGCAGGCTACACTCCCAGCAGATAGGGGATTAAAGACGACCAACAGTACATGTAAGAGGTGTTTGAGAAATTCAGAACAGGGTGTAGAAACACTTTAACCAAAAGTCTAAACAAACAAGCAGATCAATATCCATCAGCCCTGGAGATGCAGGGCTGAGCTGAGTCGAAGCTGACAGTGGGCTCACCTGGGGCCAAGACCCCCCAAACTAGTTACTAGAGATGCTATTCTTCAGATTGCTTTGGGAACATCGAGAAGAGAAACCAGTCTCTGCTCATGGCAATTTCCACGGACAGTGGGGCAGAAAAAATGAACCTCTGTTATGGCCCTAAAAAAGACAGCCGGCTTTCTGAAAATATCTGGATACTGTATTTTTCTAAATTCTAAAAAAACCCGAGAGAGTACACATAGCTTTTAGAATTACAGTGCAAGAAAAGCGTTTTAGATGTGGAGTTTTTTATAAGAACTGTAAGGTGAAATATTACGCTGTTGTTGTAACGACAGTCCAGGGTCCAAGTGCCGGGAGATCCATCCAAGACAGGTTAAAATCTGGAACAGGATCCAGAACAGGAACGGGGAACCAGGAAGATATAAAAAGGATAATGAGGCCAGGCGCTCCGAACCCCAGACTCAGACGATAAGGACGCCTTGATGAAGCCTATGCTGTTGGGTCTCTCCTGGACCTGCTGGTAGACGGGCTTCCAGGCGTCCATCTCCCAATGTTGAGCCAGGAATAGCGGGAGCGCCAGGCTTAAATAATAACAGGCAAAACAAGGGGCAGGTGCACGTAATAAACTAAAATATGAAAGGGTCGGTGCGCCCTTAAGAGGAGGGATGACGATCGTGACAGTTGCTGTGTTCTGTCATCTGATTTATTTAGTCAATGTAGCTGGAATGAAAACCACCAGGCAAAGGACTCCCCCAGGACTGGAGCTGGGAATCACTGTTCTGGGGTGTGACAGCAAAGCCATGTGGGAGATACGAGCACTGTTTCCTGTTCTTAAAGCAGTATCACTCAGACATCACAGGGCTGGCAAACTGTTTGAAAACTGCTTTGTTTCCATGGGCCCCAGACGTGGTGGGGTTCTTTGAAACAGGGGGTGTTTTTTCAATCAGAATTACCATCGAAGGCTTGCCAGATTTAAGGACAGCATGTTTTAAGTAGCCCGCCCTGTGCTATTCTCTGTATGTCTCTGGCGGCTGCCAAATCTATACCCCAGGTCTTTAAGTTGGCCACCTTTAAGAGGAGACAGAACTCCCCAATCCATCTGTCAAGGAAGGAGGGGACAGGGCCACTTCTGAAGGAGGAAAGGTGATCTGGGTCCTTTTTTTTTTTTCAGATCATGCTGAATTCCCTGCACAAGTATGAGCCTCAGATCCACATTGTGCGCGTGGGGAGCAGTCACCGGATGGTGACCAACATCTCTTTTGCAGAAACGCAGTTCATCGCAGTGACAGCGTACCAGAACGAGGAGGTCAGTCTGCTCGCATCCCCGATTTCCACTAGAGCACTCCCACTGATGCCTCATTCCCTCGCTTCGCTCAAGATTTTAATTAAGCATATTGGCGCTCCTTCCCTGCTGTGTACAAAATCTGAAATGTGATTACCAAGGTTTTATTTCCCTCCAATCTCGTGGGCTTCCATATCCCATTTGTCCAGTTACGAGCCCTGGCAGACCAGGAAGTCATGTGTAATATCCCAAGTTCTCTCTGCTTCACAAGACGGTAGTCAAGAGATGTTTGAGCAAGATGGAAATTTTTCAAAATGGCAGTCCAGAACATGGAGATTCTCAAGGAGCTGGGGACGATCAAGCAAAACGTTGAAGTGGGATGTGTTATGTGAATCAATAATTGCTGGAGTTGGTTCAGCAGTGAAGGTGCTATGGGTTTATTGGATAATTAATGGAGTGGTAAGTGAAATCAGAATAAGAAGAGTTCTGGGAAAAGAGCAACTACACATGCTCTTGCGCCTCAATGTCTAAGCCCAGAGGTTTGACTCCTCAGGGCTTAAATAGTGAATGAGGCGCCCTTTATGAAGTAGATAAGCCCGGCCTGACCCCGTATAATAACAGATAATGGCTTGACTGTCCTCCTTGTGAAAAACTGTCAGCAAAGTACTATACATGTCTTAATAATGTAGAGACAGCAGTGTACCCCGACAGGGAAGATGAGGACTGTTGTATACATGTCTGATGTACATGTATACATAATTTATACAAAACCATGTCAAATGATTTTGCTAGGGCCCTGGGTTCAAATCCTGATCTTGGTTGCTGTCTATGTGGAGTCTGTATGTTCTCCCCAGGTTTTGCGTGAGTTTACTTCCACAGTCCAAAAGCCTGCTTGGTTAATTGTCTTATGGAAAATTTGGCCCTGGTGTGAGTGTGTGTTCGTATCTGTGCGTGTCTGCCTGTAATGGACTGGTATCCATCCTGTGTGTATCCTGTCTCCTGCCCGTTCTTGCCAGGATAGGCGCCTGCTCCCCCTTTGACCCTAAATTGGAAGAAGTGGTTAGAAAATGGATGGATATAGTCTTGTGTTCTTGAAAGTTTAGTTTTTTTTATTTGGTCAATAGACCTACTTTAATAGATGATCTTGAATATAAGAAATTATATTACTAGAAGGAAAATAATATTTAGTGCTTGTTTAGTTTTAAGAATTGCTGGATGTTCACCCTTGCTCTCCCCAGGTAACCAGAAAGGTAAATGGTCTGGAAGTACTTCCAGCAGCTACGGCATATTACCTTGCAACTCACAACTGGCAGCCCACTGAAGCTGAGCAGGTGTGAGCCTGGTCAGTACCTGGATGGGAGACTCCTGGGTAAACAAAGGTTGCTGCTGGAAGAGATGTTAGTGGGGCCAGCAGGGGGTGCTCACACTGTAGTCCATGTGGATCCTAATTCCCCAGTATAGTGACAGGGACACTATACTATAAACAGGCACTGTCCTTCGGATGAGACGTAAAACTGAGGTCCTGACTCTCTGCGGTCATAAAAAATCCCAGCGTGTTTCTTGGACAGAGTAGGAGTATAACCCGGGCTTCCTGGCCAAATTTCCCATTGGCCCTTACCAATCATGGCCTCCTAATAATCTCTCTCTAAGAATTGGCTTCATTACTCTGCTCTCCTCCCCACTGATAGCTGATGTGTGGTGAGTGTTCTGGTGCACTATGGCTGCCGTCGTATCATCCAGGTGGATGCTGCACATTGGTGGTGGTAGAGGGGAGTCCCCATTACCTGTAAAGCGTTTTCAGTGGAGTGTCCAGAAAAGCACTGTGTAAGCAATTATTATTATTATTATTAACTATACATTCTGTTTTGTTGAAGATCACAGCGCTGAAGATCAAGTACAATCCATTTGCGAAAGCATTCCTGGATGCCAAAGACAGGTAAGATAGCTCTGATCAGTTCACTGAGCCCAGCTGAAATTTGGCTTGGCGTGCTTGTTTTTTGGACTCTCGTCATCATCGTTATTGAGAGATAGACAATATAGTATAGTATAGACAATTGAGAGATAGACCTGTGGGGAAAAGCCAAACTGATTCCTATAAGCCTTGTTAGGCTGTTGTTGACCTGAAGCACTGAACTGTGGTCCTGGAGTTGGAGGTGGAGTTGGTAATCCTTGTTTTTTGACTTTTATTTGTTTCACTGTAGTTGCTGAAACAGGTATTGAGTTGAATGTCACAGATTTTGGGCATTTAAGAAGTGAGACGTAATTCTCTCCTCTTGGTGGAGGACAAGTTTAGTGATGGCTCACAGATTCTCTAGAGGGCTGACCTGGGTCTGTCTGAGTCCACACTATAGGGTTTTCAGAAACACTTTCATGTTCCTCCTACTTCTCTTTACAACGGCTTTCCGGTTGCAATGTCAGATTCCATATCTTGGTGCTACTGGACTACCAAGGGGACCAAACCAGCATACCACTAGACCGCAGTCAGGCCCTGTGTTCTGACTGGAGCACTGAGATCTGCTTCATCAAGCCGATTGGCAGTGTCATCATTGATGGGCTCTGAGTCCCGGGTCTGACTGTTCTCTATGCTGCCCCCTAGAGGTGAAACTATTTGAAAACTAATCTCTTGAAGTTAAACCTGATCCCAGAGGCCTAAGATTAATCCTAACTTTTTCACTCACTTTTATGTTGCCACTTCTCGTCTCTTCAGCAGCAATGAAACTCCTTAGTGCTGTGCAACACCCTGGCATTGTTTTTCTGTGGTTTTATTGATGTTTTATGCCGCTGTTAACTGCACCCTTTTTCATCTGGGCCAGCTGTGATTGTAAGTTGCTGTGTATTATAGCATCTAGCTCCAGAAGCCACATCAGTTCATACCTGGCAACCCACTGCAGCTAAGCAGGTGTGAGCCTGGTCAGTACCTGGATGGGAAAACTAAGGTTGCTGCTGGAAGAGGTGTTAGTGGGGCCAGAAGGGGGCACTCACCCTGGGGTTTGTGTGGGTCCTTATTCCCCGTGATAGTGATGGGACACTATACTGTTGCAATGTTCCGTGGGAAGCGAAGAGCAATGCAAGGCACAGAAAGTTGTCATGGCCATCCACTGCAACCAAGGAAGTCTCCAGTCATGACGACTGCTCGTACCACTGGACCCGGGATTCTGAGGTCGACAGAGTGGGACTGCCCCAGTGCAACGGCTTTCCCACTTCAAGAAGCTCTCCGCACAGGTTTCTTCGTGCAGCTCATCTGTTTTGGAAGATAGCACAACCGTCATCGACGGACAACCATCATCATTATAGCGTCTGCCACACGAAGAAAGTGTAAAGGCAAAGGAGTTCAGATGATCCGCCTGCACGAAAGCAAGCAAAGAAGAGAGCTCCGTCGTTGATATCATGCAGAGGGTCAGCACGAGCAAACTGGTGCAAACGCACAAGTGCCCACAGCGATCGGCTCCTCATTATTAACCATTTGAAGCTGACAGGGTCGTTAAGAAGCTCGTTGGTGCTGAAGTGTGAAGTGTTTCAAATTTGGAGCTCCATCAGCTAGAGTGTCAAACGCAACACTAGACAAGACTGGAAGTGTGCTCTCCTCTCGTAGGGTACGGTTTTGCAGAGACGTGCTAATACTGGGTTCAATTATGATCATTAGCCTATTAGCACAAGACACCAAGTACCTTCCCAGCAGGCTGTTTTCTGGCTGTCAGAGCTGCCTCTCGATTTGAGGCAGTGTCTGGACTGCGTTGGTGGAAATTGATTTGCTTTACAGAAGAATATTAAATTCTTACATAACCATTTTGCTGATCATTGCTTAACTGTTTACTTTGATAGGTTTATTGTGACCTGCAGCTGAACTGTTGAATGAACTGGATTCACCTCCCTAGTGTGTGCCCTCAGCACCTTTGCAGCAGAGTTAGGGTTAGTTTAGGGGTTAGGTAACCCTAACCCTTAAACAGCTGGGAGACCTGCAGTGTTAGTGGTACAGTAACTAACACTGGGTTTACCACCTTGCTCTGTAACATTTACAATCGAGAACACTTCCCACAGTGTGTTCATACAGTTCTCCCTCCACCTTGCAGGAACCCTCCCAAGAACCTGCTAGAGGGCTCTTCTGAGAGTCAGCACATGGGGATATCTCACTGTGAGTCTGTTGTGTGTCTGAGAGTCAGCACATGGGGATATCTCACTGTGAGTCTGTGTGTGTGTCGTCTGTGAGTCAGCACATGGGGACATCTCATTAAGAGTCTGTGTGTGTCTCTGAGAGTCAGCACATGGGGATATCTCACTGTGAGTCTGACGTTGTGTGTTTCTGAGTCTAAGCCTGCATGTGTTTCTGTTTGTGACTGTGTGTGTGAATTCTGAGAGTCAGCACATGGGAATATTGCAAATAATGTGATCTGTTTGCACTGCTAATGTCTGAGCATGTGTATGCACATATTCTGTAAGTAGGCGGCTGGTTGATCTCGAACCCAGATGCCCTATGTACCTCAGGGAGCAGCAACTACCAGTACAGTGGGAGCCTGCCACTGGCCCCACCTCACCCTCCTCACAGCTACGAACGCTATTCCACTCTCCGTAGTCACCGAAGCACGCCGTACCCCACACCATACATCCACCGCAGCCCCAGCACAGGTAACATCAG